TTTGACATAAAGACCATCCCACAGCACACTTACAACAGATGCTGGCAGGCAGGGACTATTCACAGTAAGCTTTTAGTTAACTCAACTACCAAGTTTATACAAGCTAATGATAGCCCCGCCCCTTTCTATGTGTGGTGTGTGTGTGCACTCGGATGTACTTGTACAAGTGTGTTCATGAATATGTGGAGGCCCGAGGTTGACACCCAGTGTTTTCCTCTATTACTCTCCCTCTTATTTTTTGAGACATAGTCTCTCGCTGAATCTGGAACTTGCTGTTTTAAGTTAGACTGGCTGGCCAGTGTGCCTCAGGAACCACAGCCAGTGTTGGGTTTGCAGATACGTAGAATACCATCACGCCTGGACTTTATGCGCTGCCAAGGGGCCAAATGCACGCAGACCCTCTGCAGCAAGCTCTTTACTCCTTTAAGCCATCTTCCTAATCCCTGTTTTTGTTTTCTTGAGACATGAGCTTGCTATGTAGCTCTTGCTGACCTGGAAACTCATAATATAGACCAGGCTAGTCCCAAACACAAGGCAATCCTCCTGCCTCAATGCTGGCCTTGAATTCATTATGTAGCCAAGCCTGGTCTTGATCTCCTGATCTCCCTTCATCTCCTTCAGAGTGCTGAGGTTATAGACATGAGCAACTGCACCAGCCTAGCACATTCTCTGGACTTTACTCTCAAGATTTCCTATCATTTATGCCCAATAAATCCCAGGCTAGCTCTTAGAGATAGATCTGTGCTTTACTTCCATATGCTTACAAGCCATTATTATATTGGATACTACAGTTTTCAAAAATTTGCTCAGGACAGATAAACCCAGGAGTCTAAAATTTGTAGAATCCCCTTCCTACCTTCATATTTGTCAAACCGGGGACCTGTGTGCTTTTTCTCCATCGTCTATTGCCTAGCCCAACGTTACTCAATTGCCTATTCAGCTGGTCCTCACCGAGGTCCTGGGCATAAGGACTGGAGACTATAGGCATCTGGTCTATTGTGTTTCTCTTTTTATTAGCATGCAAAATAATAGGTTTGAAGTGATAACCCACAAAAGTCGGGTCAATAATTTATTAAGGGGTGCAATGAGAATAACACACTCATGAATACAGAACGAAGTAGACATCGCTGTGATCCAGCTACAGCTGTCCTACCCTTCTGCCCAAGGGTGATGAGGACCAACCACAAACCATGCTTCTTCACCACTTGCTCCTGCTCCAACCACCCAAGAGAGAGAGCTTGGACCCTCTCCTCAGTTTTATCTGGTCACTCACATATCCAGAGAAAACCACGCCCATAGGGCTAGTCACCCCAAATGTCACTGGCTAAATGGTGAACTCCCACAACAAGGTTTCTAGGTTGGTAGCCAAAGAATGAAGACAGGGTATGGGCTACCACTTCTTTTAGTCCTAGAAAAAGGCTGAACCATCAAACAGGTCATAAAGGAGGGGTCATTCCTTAACAAAGTCCAAACATAAGAAATCTCCAAGTCAAGGAGTCAATTAGGAGTTCGCCGCCAAATCCCAAAGCTAGTGTCTAGACAACGGCAAGGAAACACAGGTCCAGCAAAGGGGAGTGGGCAGGAGCCCAGTCAGTGAGAGGATGGGTGTGGGCAACTCTTGAGTCAGCTCCATCTTGCTCGTTCGTATGCAATTCTCAGAGCTATCCGGGGAGGCCTCTCTGCACAGGGAATGAGCAGTACCAACAAAATGAATATGGTTTAAAGAAATAAAAAAGCTGGGGCTGGAGAGATGGCTCAGCAGGTAAGACCACTGATTGCTCTTCCATAGGACTGGGTTTAATTTCCAGCACCCACATGGCAGCTCACTGCTGTCTATAATGTCAGTTCTAGGAGACTCGACACTCTCACAAACAGACATACATACATGCAGACAAAACACCAATGCGCATAAAATGAAAACAAATAAAAATTTAAAAAACTTATATTTGAAGTAATAATAATAATAATAATAATAATAATAATAATAATCCAGATGTATCAGAACACTTGGTAGGTAAAGGCAGGAGAACCAGGAGTTGAAGGCCAGCCTTGACTACATAGTGAGTTTGAGGAAGCCAGGGCCACATAGGGCCTTGTCTCAAGAAAGCAAAACAAAACAGAACAAGTGAATGAAAGAGGAAAAGAAAGGAAAAGAAAAAAAACCCAAGACTCCTTTGGTCCTTTTTAACTTTCAAGAACAGATTTATTTATGTGTGTGTGTGACTGAATGAACTTATGTGCCACATGCATACAGGAACATGCCGAGGCCAGAAGAGGGCATTGGATCCCCTGGAATTAGAGTTAAAGGCTGTTGTAAGCTGCTGTGTGGGTGCTGGGAACCAAACCTGGGTCCTCTGCAGTAAGCAGTCTTAATCATTGAGCTGTCTTGCCAGCCCAGTTTTATTCGATTATTTTATGTATACAGGTGTTGTGCCTATTTGTATGTCTGTACACCACATGCATGCCTGGTGCCTGCAGAAGTCAATAAGAAGGTGTCAGATCTCCTGGAACTGGCGTTACAGATGATTGACTGTGAGCCACCATGTGGGTGCTGGGAACTGAACCCTGGTCCTCTGGAAGAACAGCCAGTGCTCCTAACCTTTGACTTACCTCTGCAGCTCCCTCTCTCTTCCTTTAAAAGACAAGGCCTCACTATGCTGTGCTGGCTGACCTGGAACTTGCTATACAGATCAATGTGGCCTTGAACTTGAAACCATCCTTTAGCCTCTGCCTCCCTAGTGCTAAGACTACATGTGTGTCCCACCACTCGGGGCTCTCTCTACACTTTTGACCTTGTTAGCATGGGGAATTGTGTCAGCATTAAGATCCATGGATATTTACTTAGATTAGAGGTTAAAGTTGTTGGCCCGACAGACGGCTCATCTTTTTTTTTTTAAATATTTATTTATTTATTTATTTATTTATTTATTTATTTATTTATTTATTTATTTATTTATTTATTTATTATGTATACAGCATGTATGACTGCAGGCCAGAGGAGGGCACCAGATCTCGTTACAGATGGTAGTGAGCCACCATGTGGTTGCTGGGAATTGAACTCAGGACCTCTGGAAGAGCAGCCAGTGCCCTTAACCTCTGAGCCATCTCTCCAGCCCCGACGGCTCATCAGCCCCGACGGCTCATCTTTTAAGAGGGGGCGATACCCTTGCAGAGGAACCAAACTCAATTCTCAATATTCACATCAGGTTGCTCATGGCTGCCTGTAACTCCAGCTGCAGAGGACCTGATGATTTCTTCTGCCCTCCATGGACACCTATGAGCAGACAAAATGCTCACACACATGTTGTTTTCTTTTAAAGAAAGCAGTAGTAGTTAGGGTTATCATCCATAAGTGCTTTCTATAGGCCAACCACTATTCCCTGTATTTTACACATGGACACCTGTACTCATGTGTACATACCTATACACAAACACATTCCTACAGAGTTTTTAAAAAAATCTTGAAAAGTGTAGCCGGGCGGTGGTGGCGCCTGCCTTTAATCCCAGCACTTGGGAGGCAGAGGCAGGCGGATCTCTGTGAGTTCGAGGCTAGCCTGGTCTACAAAGCGAGTTCCAGGACAGGCTCCAAAGCTACACAGAGAAACCCGGTCTGGGGCGGGGGCGAAGCACTAGTGTAGGAGTCAGGGGTTGCAGAGACGGCTCAGTGGCTAAGAGCACTGACTGTTCTTTCAGAGGACCTGGGTTAGATTCCCAGAACCCACAAGGCAGGTTTTAATCATCTGTAACATCAGTTCCAGGGACATGGTACCATCTTCCTGTCTCCATAGGCACCAGGGCAAACACACCTAATGCAGACAAAATACTCATATTTTTTTTTAAAGGGGTAGTAGTTAGGGTTGTAATCCAGAAGTGCTTTCTACGGGCTAAACACTATTCCCTGTATTTTACACATTAACCCTTACTGTAGTTCTACTGTGGTGTATTATCATTCCTGTGTTATGGATGAAAACACTGAATTTTATATAATATATAAATATATTACATAAATATAAAAATATTCATACTTATATAAAATATACATATATACTTACATGTATGAATTATCTATATCTATCATCTATCTATCTATCTATCTATCTATCTATCTATCTATCTATCTATCTATCTATCTATCTATCT